CCCCCCCAAAAAAAAAAATGCACAAGTATATTATCTTATTTTTGCAAACACAAAAGCTGAGATGCAAAAAGATTGGGACTTTGTAAAGTCATCCCATATACCAGAAATAGAGCATATTGAAATTGAGAACCTCTTTAGCTCTATTTTATGGTCACTACAAAATAGCAGTCCTGGTACAGCAATCCTGCAGTGTAATGAAGAATTTGTACCATGGCCATATCTTGTGGGGAAAAGTTGCAGACTTGCAAGGAGTGTGAAGAAAACACATTGTGAGTCACTGAGGAGGTATAATCCAGTCAAGAAATGTAAGTCTGATTTGTTTTCAAATTATATTGTTTTACATGCCCCAAGCTATAAAATAATCATGTAATTGGAGACATATGTTTTGCTACATTCTGAATAAATTCTGATTCAAAAGTTTTATTTCAGGACTTTCTCCTGATTTCACAAACTTTAGGTTTTAAAAATTACTGAATAATTCATACATTTTAAATGAGCATTTCCTTACTGAGGGAGACTTTAGAGTACAGCTATGTAAAAATAATTCCAGGCAACCTTTACTTTTTCAGAATAATTTATTTGCTAATCCTGTTGCTTTGCTAATATTTTTACATATATTGGTGGGAGCGTGCAAGGTGGTCTAAACTTCTGGAGAAAACATCCACTCAAATAATTAAGATATCCTTTCTGCTTCTATAAAATATTTCAGTTTTTTAATCCATGTTTTTAATGCACTTTTTAACTGCAACCCTTGGTGCTAGCAAAAGTGTAGGATTGTAGTTTTATGTAGACAGTACTGATGTGAAGCAAATGTTTTCAATAAAGAAATATGAAGCACTGCAGACCAAGTAAAACTTTGTCCTTTCTTTGTGGAAGCCAATTTATATAGTGTTCAACTTTTAACAAGCCATGTTATTTTGGAAAACTCTCTTTAAAATTCTCTCATGCTCAGTCTAAGCAGAAGAAGATGAGAAAAGGCACTATACACAGCACAAAACTAAGAAAAATAATTCAGTATGCTGAAGTTGATATGCTGCCTTAAAATTCAATAGTCATAATTTCTCTGCTAAGGGAAATGTCTCAAAAGATATTAAATTTGGTTAATAATGACAGAGGGCTTAAATTATCTCCAAGTAGTAGGGTTTAGACTGCAAGCTTGATGGGGGCCAAATTATGCCATACCTGTCTTCTGTGGGATTTCTTAGGTCTTCGTGAAAATGCCTGAAGGTGGCCACCATTGGAGACAGGCAGTGGACTGGCATGCCTGATGCGACGCAATGGTTCTGCTGTAGTTCCCCCTGTAAAAGACAAGAGGGTTTAAATAATCAGCATAAGAAGCTAGTGTATTGTTATAGTTTATGATTTAAATCCCTCTGCTGTGTTTCTTTCTTTACCCTCCTCTTCCTGGAAGCTGCCAATTAATCGATACAGATAGTTAGAATAAACTGGCTTTCTGTGGGGATCCTCTTCCCCAGCCACAACAGTATTAAATTTCTCAGAGCTGCTTTAGGGGCTTCTTCTCACTCCAGAAATCCTCCTGCCAATGAAAGAAGGCACTGGATGGGGACAGGAAGAGAGAGACCAGTCGTTCTGTCTCTTGTGAGAAACTCTATCTTTTACTTGAATGTAACTTCGCTAAATTTCAAGTTTGCTCTTTGTTTTGTAAACTGTCATGCAGATGTGTGCTATTACTTAGCAGATCAGGACCAGAGCTCATTAGTCAGTCCTTCAGTAGAAATACATGTGTTGCGGTCATGTAGTAGCTGCTGGAGCTCACCTCATTTGAGCAGCTTCATGAAGTCAGCAAGATGTTCCTGCCATGAGGACTGCGTAAAAAACAACTCCCGCTGAATTCACCCTATCATTAATAGCAACAGTGGTGTTCTCCGTATTTATTCTATTTTCAAATGGAAAATCACCTCAGTGTCAAATGACCTTCCTTAATTTATACGAGCTGAATGCCCAGCCTTACATCTGAAAGGGAAGCCACTGGTCCTTTGATAGCAGATTTGGTAGAGAAATCCCTAACAGCTCTACCTATTTCTATCTAGAGAAAAAAAATACAGAAATCTCAGCATCCCATTCATGTTTGTATGAATTTATAGAAAGAGGATGGCAGAAGGTATGAACAAATATGTACATTATATACATTTGGACTCGAAATATAATTGTGTCCCTAGTGAACCACTGATTTCCATGCATGGAGGAAATGACCATTTCAGCTCAACGTACATGTTCCAAATGCCAGTAATAAGGAGACTTTACAAACCGGTGTAATTGTTCATATATTGAGCTTCTTGGATGTTCGTTCTATGGTAAATATTCAAATTGTTGCAAGCCTTATCCAACATACACAGAACTAATGGCAGCCGCTGCTAAATATTTTTTGGCAATACTCATTTCCATAGAGGCTCTTTCACATAGACCTTTTGGACTTTAAACGTTATACATTCCCTTGCACAAAAAAGGGAAAGGAGCTGCATTATAGAGGGCTCAGTTGCCCTACACACTGTTGGTCTAAAACCAAGATAGCCGAGGTTGCTTGACACCATAAGATCAAAGATAACGGTAGCATGATTCCAAGGCTGTGTATATACAGTCAGAAAGCTGCTGGGTCCATGGAAATATGAAATGTAGTCTCAGACGAAGGATATTGTTTTTGCAAGTGGGTGTACATCCCTAAGTCTCCTTAATTCTTCTAAATCTAATATGCGGGATGATGGTTAGAAGAAAAAAGGGAGAACTTAAAAATCAATAGTTGCAAGTAACTATAAAAACATTCTAAACAAAGTGGCCACTTACCACATGCTTTACTCTGACCACCTCAACATTGGAATATTACATTTATGTAATTCCTGCCATAATTCATACTGTTGGATCGTTAAACATGTATTCAGTTATTGCCAAGCATAATTGTGAGCTGCTGGAAGCATTACTGGTTTGCAAATATGTATTTCTTCATAGATGAATAACAGGGTTTTCTTCCATGCTCATTTGAATATCACTTATGAGAGAATTTCAAATAATATATTTTAGAGGGAAGATTGTGAGAGGACTGCAAGTAGCAAGAATTAACTAGCAGAAACACGATTACTAAAGAACTGCTGCTGCATATTCTCTTTATGGGGTAGAGGTTTTACAATATTTACTTTATATGATAAGAGTTATAAGTAGAATTCTATGTTGTCTGTTCAGCCTATTATGCAGATGGTGCTTGATTAAAATCTATTTTAAACTACAGCGATTACTGCAAGATAGTGTGCATAAAACAGCTCTCCTAGCTCCATTAAAGGCTTTGGTACTATTGCAGTTTATTTTAAATATGCTTATAGACATTTTCCAGCTTCTCAAGGGACGTTTAGGTATCAACGATGTGCCTTACTTGATAGTTTTAAATCCTACACTAGATATTCTTGTGATCTATTATGTGTGCAACATGGTTAATGTACACTTTTTTAAAGTGAAAGATTATTGCTTTCTTGTGATAAATAAGTTAAATACATCACCATAATTAAGCAATAAGCCATGACAGGAGGTGGATTACCATGAGCTAACTACACCTCCAGGGATTTTGAGGCACAAGTCTATGCCTAGCAGAATATATATGGTTTTTATTTTATTTCCCGTCTGTCTCTGCTTTGGTGGTTAGAAGTGGAGTCTATGAAACTGATAGACTGATGGGAGCATAAGGTAGGCCATCATCTCAGCCATTTGCAAGGTTATTAGTACTGGAATTCTGGTATTCTTTTTATTTTGTTATTTTCATATAAGACAAACAGAATATCCCCTGTGAGTACGCTCTTTTTAACAGTGAGTCTTTGAAGTCTCTTGATCATTCAGGTTGGAGAATAAGATTTTAGAGCTGTTCTCAGAACAGCCTACCAGAAGACTTCGTACACAAGTTCCTGCAGCCTATCACCTAGTTTAAGGGTAGTTTAAATAATGTGGTAACCTAATATTCAGAGAACTTTTAAATCTCCTTGGTCCAATAATTGGCTCTTCTGAAAAGAGGAAAACCTTGGCAAACAGAAGAGGTAAAATTTTAACTGTAGCCCCAATTATTGTCAAGCCTCCTTGCTTTTAGAGTTTGCACGGAAGAGTTTAGACTGATATTGCCAAATTAACTAGGGAGCCCTAGTTAATTACCATTTAGCTGGTGGTTTTGTGTACCCTGTAGAATGAAATAATAGCAAGAGACTGAAAGTTGGATAACTTAATAATAGGTAGCACACTGCTGTTTTTTTCCCATATTTTCCAAAACGCTGGCAGCAGGTTCCATGGCCGTTAACATTGTATTAAAGATGCATCTATTGTAACATAATGCCAGGAAACAAGCAACTTCATTTTCAAATTGTGTTCATCACATTATTGTTGTGCTTAGTAAGCCACAGAGATCCATGTTGTTCACTGTAGTCACCTGTGCCCTGTACAACACCACACAGTGATGTGTATAAGAAAAATATAAGAGGTTTTTTTCTCAAAATGAGGGTTTCCAGCTATTTTGCTCATGCCGTTCTGCTGATTTGAACACCTGTGTTCTCCTATGTCACTTGATATGCATTATTAAAAAATAATAAACAAGGATGTGATAAAAGTCATACCTAGTAGATCCTTAGCTTAGAGCATACCTTTTACGCTCTTGATCTTCTAATACTTCAAAACACTTATGATGTGCAGTACTCTGGCTGTTCCAACAAGAGAAAAAAGCCTTTGAACCCTCTGGTAAGATCACACATCATTGCTACAGGTATAGTGAATTAAGTGGCCATATCAAGAGAAGCTGCTTTGCCATAGAGCTCCAATCTGTTGAAGAATCAAGACAGTGTCCCTTTTTGTGCTTGGAAGTCATCTAGGAAAGTAGGGTGCTTTGGTGATCAGGGTCTCGGAGCTATTAAGTGGAAAGCTGTAGTTGCATTTAACAACTTTGCACAAATGCTCATGTGCATTTTTTTTTCAGGTGGTACACAAATAATGCACACGCACTTTTCTTCATATACCATTCCTCTTTCACTCATTTCCTCAAACCATTTGTTTTTACACAAGCAGAGGGAAAAATGATGCAGCTAAATCCAGATGGATCAGAACTGATCCCCCAAAGGAGTCTAAACTGTCCATACTGGCAAAACTTTGTTTCTTCAGATTTTAATTAGAAGGTGTGCAGAGGAATGTCTATAAATTGAATCATTTTATTCACAATTGGATTATCTTCAAATTCCCTGGAAGGTGTCCCACAAGTTGCGGTAGAAATTTATTTGAACACTAGTCTGGGGTAGTTCTGGGAAAGGGTGAGGACAAGGGAAAGGTAGAAATGACAGTGTTCCTGCTGTCTGCAGATGGTTCATGTGGTTGAACTGGTGGTCAGGCTATAATGAAACTAATTTTATTTGAATTTACTCATTATATGCATGTTATAGCCATTAGCAATAAAACTTAGAAAAGGTGAAAAGATGACCAGATGAACTATAAATGAGATTATAGCAATTAGATGAAAGTAAAATATAAAGCACTTTGAGGGGCAAAAAATGCCTAATCTGAAATACTGAAAATGATTTTTATACATGACTAAGGCAGACAGTATCAACATTTGGATTATGAAAGATGGCAACTAAAATTCTATTTTTGCCTGCAAAATCCAAAATCTTTGTACCCCAGAAGCTGTAACAGTCGATGGACTGAATTAAAATGGCATCTTTTATAGTACTTTTCTAATTTTATTTTACAGGTTAATGGTGGAGAGAAGAGACCTGCTTCAGATATGGGAAAGAAACCCAAAACTCCCAAAAAGAAGAAGAAGAAGGACCCAAATGAGCCGCAGAAGCCTGTGTCTGCCTATGCATTATTCTTTCGAGACACTCAAGCAGCCATCAAAGGCCAAAACCCCAATGCTACTTTTGGTGAAGTCTCTAAAATTGTAGCTTCGATGTGGGACGGCTTAGGAGAAGAACAAAAACAGGTACAAAATGTGCTGTAGCTCAGAGGCTTTGTTTCAGGAAAGTGTTATCAGGGTCATCTAAGCACTGTAGGCAGCTTCTTTTGTTTGCCAGGATGAAACTTGAATATGTGCCATCTCAGGAATATAATTTAAAGAGACTGAGATAAGGAGAGTATTGTTTCATTTCTTCGGTATGAAACCAATACAATTTATTTTATTTTATTATTTTTTTTTTAGTTTTGGGGCGTGACACAAGCTTTAGGATTATATTTAGGATTGTTTTATGCCGAAATTGGTGGGCCTAAGACTTTATGACAACATTGCCCTGTCTATGACAGTGTGGTGTAAGAGGACCTTGCTGCCAAAAATTATATCTGTGCAGTGGGACCTGACATACATCCGAGCTCCCAGTTGCAGGTGTTTCCCTGCCCCACGATGCCAGAAGGGGAGCTGGGCTCATATCTTCTCCCGACCCACCTGGCTTTTATGAAAGGAATTACAGATGTTTTGATCTAAAGACATGTAGTGTGGACCCGGCAAATTGACAGTGTTCTGGGGTATCCTCCAGCATACACGTGGGCTGTGGAAATCACATCCCATAGTTACTTCCATTGTCCATGGAAAGGCCTTGGTTTTGCAAAGAGGTCAGCAGAGCTGGGTCTGGATCTTTGCAGAAATCCTTCCAAGTCAGGCAGATGCTATGTAAAAGTGGGCAACTCTGGAAGCTCATCACGTTCATGTGGGGACGGTTGGCAAATACCATTCATCCTTGCTGTAGCATACCATTGCTTTTCTGTTGTTATTGGCCGCATTTTTACTAACTGCCAACAGAATAGATTGGGTAGATAAAGAAAGGGAAGCTCGAGGAAAGAAACAGATATGGAGGGAAAGGATGTGCTGAGTGAGAGTTATATTGGCTGCAGGAGACCTGGGTAGATGTTGATGTCAGCACAAAGAGGGGAAAAGTACAGGGATAAAACTGCATCTTATTCATTCCTACAGAGCATATTATTACTACAAAATTATGGTTAATAAGGCTAGGAATTAAAAGGAAAATTTTGTTCTGATTTTTCGGTAGACAAAATCATTCAGGCTTGGAAAAAAAAAGGTTTACTCTGCTTATAACTGGTACATCTAGATCCCTGTTAAAGGTAACAGTATAACAAGAATCAAGATTTGGCACTCATTGGCTAACTTTAAAAAAAAAGGCTTATTCTAGCTAGTGTCCACCATTGAATAAGGTCAGCATTTGGAAGGTTTAGTTGGAGAAAACGTAACTTTCTGAATGCAGGGATCAGAGAAGTCACTTGGCCTGGCACATTAGAGTTATTTTGTTGTGTTGTCTCTTTCTTCTCCCTTTTTTAATATGTCCAGCAAAGGCCAAGGTTAGGTCCTAGATTGGACAGACTGTTTAGACCTTCCCACTGCAGCAGTTCTGTCATAGTTGAACATTACTTTTTGGGACCATGATGATGGGTGTTCACTTTTGACTCAGAAAAAATACAGACTGTGCCTTTGCTTAAGTTCACAAGCAAGAGGTTTTGATGCCAATCCTCCTCGTCCAACATGCCTGCCAGCCACCAGGAGGGACAATGCTAAGCCTTATCAGGAGTAGCCACTGCAGACTGCCCAAGCGTGCGAGAAGCAGCCTGCTTTCCCTGCTGTGCTTGGCGGGGAGCTCTGGACACAGCTGAGAAACTATAGACTGTGGTATCTGGCTTAAATTGGTCCCTATTCCAAAGAAAGGTCCTTGCCCAGAATCACTGCCTGTGTTGGAATCTGGACATCCAAACACATACCTCAGGAGTGCTTGAGGTAGTTAGATCTGTATCTTGGACCCATCTTGCTTGCCTGTGGGATTGTGGATCCAAAATGTCCTGAAATGGTGAACAGCAGAGACCTGGACTTCTCTCTAGTTTATCTAGTTTATCCCTGTCTCTCTAGTTTATCTTACATCTCTCTAGTGATGACACCAAGCAAAAATTATTTATTTCACCAGATCTTGTGTTTGGTTTTCTCCACCATTTTTCATAATGACCCTTGATTTGTGGCTGTTGCAGTGGTGCAGTATTTCCTTCCATAATATTCCCTCTGCTTACAACGCAGAAAACTTGACTTCATGAATAATAATCCAAGACGATATAATGGAGATAAACCTAAAAGACTATAAAATGCACATTTCCTTAGAGCTTGTCACATTCATAGTACCGGCAGAAAATTGAAGTCTTTCCATAGAATTCTGTTAAGAAAAGTACATAAAACCCTAAATTTCCAGCTTTAACTTGGATTTCCTATTTGTGGTTGAAAGCAATAGTTGAATAAGTCCTACACTGGACAGCAGAACAAAATTTATTTTCCTTATCTCTGTTGTCCTCAATTTAAGTTGGAACACAGCAGAATGATGTGTTATGGAATCCACATGACACATCCATGAAAAAATGGCTGCAACTAGATTTTTAAGCCAATTATTCCAAGAGTTTGGGTTAGCATATCTTTGTTGCTCTTTGACTCATTTTGCCTATTCATTATCATCTGTTAAGCACATTGTTAAAACTCCAGGCCCAGGCCCTTTCTAATCTAGCACTGTACAAAAAGAATAAAAGATAGTCCCTATTTAAAAAAATTGGCAATCCTATTTTCTAGAATAAATTTAAACTCATTCTTTATTCCATTAGGGATCTAATAGTACAAAGTAATGATTACAAGACATCTTAACTGACTAGATAGTCTGTATTTTAAAGGCCTAATTTTTCAGACCCAGAGCATTAGTAACTGTTATGAAACCTGTGGGTCTGGTAGGAAAATTGGACTCTAAAAATACAAATGATTAATGTAGCATTTGGAATTTGGCATTGAAGAAGCTTCAGAAATTCAAAAATAGTTAAATAAAGAAACAAAAACATCATTAGAGGAATGCTTTATTGATAAATTATACTTGCTGAAAAGGATTCAATTATCATAAAGCTTCTGGCTTTTATGTTTTGGAAGCTAATGCTTATTCTGGAATTTAAATAGAATTATGTTTCCAAATTATGTTTCCTGAATTGGAACGCCTTTTACTATTTAAATAGTAAATATAAATGAATCAGAAAGTAGAACATAATGCAGCTATTGAGAAAGAAGAATAACCTCATGTTTTCATGCCAAAATAAAATCTTCTTTGTTCCTATGACCTGAGCCAGCTTTTTCTGAAATGCATAGAATTCTTCTTGTTTATTCCTGAAGATTGACCACAGAATAAATAAAGGTATTGAAACTCAGTACAGCAATGACCTAAGGGCAGTATATGTATGTCCAAGCCTTTGCAACAAAACTTTGATAACATGGCTTATTAGACTGTAGCTTGAAAGAGTTTGTGCAAGACCCACATATGTTTTTCAAACTGTGAAGAAACTAGGAAAATGTTGTTTGAGAAAATAGGATTTGAATGACAAAAAAGGAAATGTTATTATGAACTAGATGATAGTGGGTGCCTTACTGAAGTTGGAGGGAGTTGTACTTAAAATGGGTCACACTGATGCTCTTACCATGAGAGTATTGCAATTTATTAGATTAAAGCAGATACCACTGTCCTTGCACCCTCATTTTACCATATGAAGACATTTGCATTTTTGGGTTATATGCTATAACTGTTCCCATTAATTTCTGAGCTTACAAGGGCCATTTGCAAACAATGCTGATGTGTGCCTATGTTTTGTTTGTCCAAACCTGTATACACAGAGGAGTCTAGAAACTAAAGGGACTTTAGTGGTCATGGTGGACTTTGTCAAGGTTTCTTCTCAAATTCTGAATTAGGTACAATAGTTACACATGATCAGAAGCATGAACTGTGCATTTTCCTTCATTTTTCACTGTAAAAGTTTTCTAAAACTGTTCAGATTAATAAACCTGTGAATGGAAAGCAGCTGTAGCAGTAGTATGTTGAGGTACATTCTCCTCAGTGCTGTAGCCATAGCACAGGGATATTTTCAGTGGCTTTTCTAGTTCCTCTCTTACAGTCACAAACACTGTTTTCTCCTTAGTCAGTACTATACTTCTGTGTGTCCCATTTTTATAGCTTCTTTATGTACATCTTTGCCCTTTGCACACATTTTTACTGCAAAGGGGAGAAAAACAGCCCCCAGGAAAGAGGGTTCAGCATGCTAAATGGTCCAGTCTCCGGCTTTCAGACAGAACGCTGGTTCAAACTGCATAAAAAGGCTACTTAGGTCATTTTCTGTCCTTAGATGAAAAAGGAAAGTCATTTTAAATCAGTACCAGATGTATGTGTACTAAATGAACCTTAAGTTTCTAATTGGAGTCCTAGTAAAGCTGTAATAGATGTGGCAAATTACAAACAAAATGTTCTTGTTTACATTAGTGTAACTTTAAAACTTCAGCCAAAGACCTTAATAAATGTGCTATTATTCTAAAAATGGAATTGAATGTCTATTCAACATTCAACAAAATTAATCTCTGGTGTAACTTCAGTGACTTAACGAGAATTCTAGCAGGAATGAATTTGGCCTCCTGTGAACAGCTTAGTGTGCATACGTATGTGTGTGTATGTGTTTCTGTGTGTTTACTTAAATGTTGCACTGGCCTTGCAGCGGGAGGAAGGATGGATTCACCTAGGGGATCCAAAACTTAATGATCAGAAGGAGCAGGCGAAGCGACTCTTTGAGTGCTGTAACATATGCCTTCTTTCAGGCTGCATAATTCATACATAGTAATATTAGCTGCAACAGTTCAGCTCAATAGCAACACCTCATTATTTTATCCCTCAGTATTTATTCCTATGTTTGACGCCTCATGAAATTACTGTTAATGTGTTTATATAAGGGCAGATCTGACACAAGTGGGAAGAATTTAATTTCCCACTCATTCTTTCCTGCT